TTTTTGGCTCCGACGGCACAAAACACCGGATCAGGATATTATCCGGTGTTCTCTTTGGTTGGCTGTAAGCAGTGGGATAATCCTCACTTTCAGTTTTGCCCCCGATCACACAAGTGCTCATTGTGTTCCTCGCGCTCCCGCCCCCTTCCTCAGTGCTACACCATTCCTCGTCCTCTTGACACGAATCAAACTGAGCAAATCACGAAATATACTGGCAGTCCACGAAATATATCGACGTTCCCACGAAACTAAATGCCGAGGTCGCGAAATATAATGAATTTCCACATGGGATTCCACGAAATATACCAGATATTTTTCGAAATTAACCGAAAAAAGGTGTAGTCGAGACGTACTACGTAGTATAATCGAGAGATCTTACAGTTAACATGGTGAAGAAATTCTTCGTCTCAGATTTAAATTTGGTGATGAATTGATCAAGAAATAGACATTTAACCTAGCGGTATTTTGCATGGGCGAATTGAATTTCCCCACTGAGATATATCTTGATCTTTGTATAAGATTAGTATCCGTATATCATATCCGTATAACGCATGCAACGGATATTTAGTGTTTTGGGTTTACTGTAAACAACGTTACGTATAACGCATGACACGGATATTTAGTGTTTTGGGTTTACTGTAAACAACGTTACCCCATGCAACGCCACATATAGCCAAGACCGCGGCCACCAGACGAAACCGAGTGATCATTGGTTTGTGGTGTTGGAACGTATTAAGTTCGCGGGGGGTCGCATGGATAGCTACAAATGGGTCGTTGGTTGGAGTGGTTGGTTGCATAATGCTTTGGCGCAGGGCGACAATTGAAAAGTGAGCAAATGACAACGACTGCTCGACTTTTTCTGGTGTTGTATTTCTGCACTGGCCAAAAAGAAAGGTCACATTTTCTTTTTGACTCAAATGTCCCTCTTTTGACTTGAGTGTATCAGGAGCATGTCTCAGCAGAAGGATAATATAATTAAGATACTTCGCAGGAAAAGGAAGTGGTGTTCGTTCTCCCTCCACATATTACTGTAGTTTGCAAATACGCTGTTCGCAGTTGTGAGACGAGTGAAACCAGTGGTAGCTAACGGTATCCTTATAATCAGACTGTATTTTGACGTATTTTACTTTTGCGCAACCCTAACGGAAAAACGGTATAAAATCCGCATAACTGTCACTTCCGGATATGGAGGCTTGGTTGTGCTCACTCGTCTTGGGATATGTTCAACCATGAACGAACAAGCTGGCAGTCCTCGTCAGTGGTGAAGTTGGCACCCCGCCCGTTGAGAACCATTCAAGCGAAGTGTCAGTACTAACAGTAAGTTAGTATGGAAATGTCTGCTCTCAAATACATGCGTTTTATTGATGGAAATATGATGCTTTATGGTTTATGATTGGCTCCTGTATTTTGCCTTTACCGTCGCACCATTGGGGGATGCCCTTAGGCCGGGTCTGGGTGCCACAAAAAATGGCATAAAATCGCCGTTTTCCGATTGAAGTGCAAGACTTCAACGTGAAGACAAACCTCCATAAAGCAAACGATTCTCAAGAAAATTGAGGCATAAACTTTGAACTTTGGTGGCATCCAGAAGCACAAAACCTCGAAAAATGGAATATTCGGCAACTTTTCTTCGAAAACCGGCCATTTTATGCCATTTTTTGTGGCACCCAGACCCGGCCTAAGGGCATCCCCCAATGGTGCGACGGTAAACGCAAAATACAGGAGCCAATCATAAACCATAAAGCATCATATTTCCATCAATAAAACGCATGCAGGAAAAGGAAGTGGTGTTCGTTCTCCCTCCACATATTACTGTAGTTTGCAAATACGCTGTTCGCAGTTGTGAGACGAGTGAAACCAGTGGTAGCTAACGGTATCCTTATAATCAGACTGTATTTTGACGTATTTTACTTTTGCGCAACCCTAACGGAAAAACGGTATAAAATCCGCATAACTGTCACTTCCGGATATGGAGGCTTGGTTGTGCTCACTCGTCTTGGGATATGTTCAACCATGAACGAACAAGCTGGCAGTCCTCGTCAGTGGTGAAGTTGGCACCCCGCCCGTTGAGAACCATTCAAGCGAAGTGTCAGTACTAACAGTAAGTTAGTATGGAAATGTCTGCTCTCAAATACATGCGTTTTATTGATGGAAATATGATGCTTTATGGTTTATGATTGGCTCCTGTATTTTGCCGTCGGGTGGTCACAA